AAATGTGGATGCTAAGATCCTTGCGAAAGCTTTGGCCTATCGCCTAGAAAATATTGTACCAACTATTGTTTCACCTGAGCAAACTGGATTTGTTAAGGAGCGGCAGCTGTTCTTTAATGTCCGTACTCTCCTAAATATTATCTACTCTAAAACTAACACAGCAACACCTGAAGTAGCGATCTCGGTTGACACTGAAAAAGCATTCGACAGGGTCGAATGGGACTATTTATTCACTGTACTAAAGAAATTTGGGCTGGGAAATGTGTTCATTTCGTGAATATGTCTCCTCTATACATCCCCACAAGCTAGTATCTCCACCAATAACATTCAATCCAGTTTTTTCACTCTTGCCCGTGGCACCAGGCAGGGGTGTCCTTTTATCTCCCCTGTTGTTTGCACTAGCTATAGAGCCCTTGTCAATCTCTCTGAGGTCCTCTTCCATTTTTACTGGGATTTCACGATTGGGCACAGAATTTAAGTTATCACTTTATGCTGATGATTTATTGCTGTATGTCTCAGATCCTGTCCTTTCCATCCCAACAATTGTATCTACTTTTCAGAGATTTGGATCATTCTTTTTGTTTACACCCTGTAGCTTAAACACTTATTCACTTATTACACAAGAATCCTCAGTTACTTATTTATTTATTATTCTTTTTTTTTTGTACATTGTTTGTTTGTCGCCCGATCATGTTCCTATTGGGCCACAAATATAAAATAAGAAAACATCCTTGGAGGCAGACCGTATGTCTTGCTCTTCATTCATCATGATGCACAGTATTTCTATTGTATCGATATCTTTACATTTTCAGTTGTGATGCAGATGTGATGTGATACTCAATGTAATTACAACATTGGTTCCTGTTCTAATGTGCCTTACCTCCTAATAAAAATATTTAAAAAAGAAAAAAGAAAAAAAAAGAAGAAGTGTGAACCTATCATGGCGTCCCATTGGTTTGTGGACTACTGTTTTAAAGTCTTGAGTTCGGCATTATGGCCTTTGCTATATCGTTTTTTCCGAGCTAGGAGAGTAAACGCACTTAGTTGAACTCATCAGGAAACAATGGCGGCTCACCTGGTCACACACATTCTCGTATTACACATAAATAGTACACTAAAGCAGTGGTTCCCAACTGCTTTTCTTAAAGGTGCCCTTTTCTATCATTAAGTAAACAGAGTGACATATTCTATGGATATTTCATATTACATTCAGTGCATTATGTGAACACAATGGATGAATTTTGAGCAGATTATTTCCTGTGAATACTGATCAGAGATGACTTTCCCTGATATTTTTATCGAAATTTCTAGAAATGTATTTTAAAAGTTCTTGTAAGATATTTGGTGAAGTTGAAGTCAAGCAGCTTACCAGTTATTTATGTATTTGTTTGTTTATGTGTTGAAGTGGTTAACTTCGCTACAACTAAGGTCCATTTCAGAGCACACGCTGAGTGTAGAAATGAAGCCAACCTGTTTCGGAGGTTCAAGAGTTTTCATCAAGGTTTCCATACACGATGGCAGCACTTTGTGGTGTAGGTGCAGCAACATCCGGAGGGTGTGTCTGTGGACGTTCTCTTTACTGGGAAATGTTCAGACAGAAACCAACAAGGACACATGACGGAGATGTCTGATTTCAATGTAACAAAGATAACAGTGAAAGGTCCCTGGGAGTGGTGATACCAATTAGCATGTTTACAAATTAGCTCAGCTGGCTCAGTGTGTGTAATGCTGCATTCACATGGATTCAGACAGACAGTAGATGGCAGACGGACAGCACCTTCCTCACAGCATGGGAAAAACAAACAGACAGTCCGACGGGATGAAAACAAAACGCAGATGACGATATGTTGCTATAGTGTTTACAAAAAATATAATAAAATATATCGAATAACATTATTTTGTGAGTATAGTACTTTATGTGATTATTTCATTATTAGCGTCCATATAGCCCTCTGTTGTCTCCTTGCATGAGGGAGCTATGGAACATTTTTTAAATTCCATTGCGGAGGACGGCAAAAAGTTAAAACATTGAAATTTCGGATGGCAATGCTGTCTACCAATACTGTTACCGATATTCTCTGCCAGCCTTAACTAATTTTACTGTCCTGCTCTCATCCACCAACATGACATACAGTTTGCCATCTACCACTGGCCTGATTCCATGTGAATGCAACATTGGGTGGAAACTGACTAAGTCCTGCCCCTTTTTGCAGTGTCCTCCAATAACAGTTGAGAAAGCCTCAGTCAGCTTCCTCCTTTCCTGTACTTAGATATGCTATGTGCTAGGCTAATCTAAGTTGAAAAGAAAACCACATTTTTGACATGGTTAAAAGATAAAAATGACAGTCACTTTTGAAGTTAGCTAATGTTAGCAAACTGTTTGCTAACTAGCCAGCTATTCTACATCAATCATTAGCTTGCTAGTTACATCTGAAATAAAATGTTAGCAAAACACTACCTTACTAGCAAGCTAATTTACATCAATGGTTTGTTAGCTAGTTAGCAAATATTTTGCAAACATTAGCTAGCTAAATACGTGGCTATGTCACTTTTATCTTTTACCATCTTCAAAATGTTCTGTGAATGAGCCACATAGCACATCTAAGTACAGGAAAGGAGGAAGTTGACCAAGGTTCTGTTCTGAGGCTTGTTCAACTGTTACTTGAGCACAGAGCAAAAAGGGGTGGAACTTAGGAAGGGTTGATGGGACACGTGTGTTTGTTTCATCCCACTTTGTGTTTTATGCTGATGACACACTAGAATGATGTGAAACTTTCTAAAGTAGACTACACTATGACTATGGGTGCGCAGCTAAGATCTGCTAGAATCAACCCACCTAGAAAAAGAAGTAAGAAGGAAGCCATCAAAGACAACTGAACAAAACTCTTCTGATCCAAACTCATCAGAGAGCAGGGTGAGGTGCCCAGTCAGCAGGTGCAGGAAGATGTCGCCAAAGGCCATGTCGTTGTAGGTCTCCACTGAGGGGGGACAGCAGAAATCCAACTCTTATACTGACACGTTTTCAATCACAAAACAAACAGCTATTTAACTGGGAACCTGAAACAAACATGACATAAAAAAAACTGCCACATGAGAACAGTTTGGTCAATAAAATTAAATGTCAGACTGCATTTTGTTATAAAGAGGGATGTAGCTTCTGCCTTCTGGGTTTGGCTTGCGACCTTTAAAAAAAACCTGCAGTTTTAGAGAATATGGTTTCAGACTTCTCATATTTTACCCGAAATTCAGGGGAAGAGCGACACTCACCTAGGGCAGGTAGTAACCTCTGTAAGGCATTCTTGTTCCTCAGTTTGGCAATGTGGAGGACGTAGTAGAGACCCATTTCACAGGCCACTCTGTTCTCCTGCAGGTACCTGAATGGGAAACACAATCACATCTGACATTTCAGAAAAGGAAACCCCTCTTTGACGGAAGTAGTGGCTAGAAATTCCAGTTTGTGGCAGTTCTTATTCCAGAGATTTTTGAAAGCAGCACATTTATGTAATGCTTTGCTCCAGATAAGTAGTCTCATGAAACCTGCTGTTAAACAGTAGTCCAATCTGAATCAAGAAATCATCTTCCAGGAGTTTTCCTTGACAACACAGGACAGCCCTCACTCACAATAGTGAGATAAAAGCAGACTTACAGTTTCCCTTTAACTGTAACATTAATTTATCCAGAGCCCATAAATAATTATTCAAATCAAGTAGAATATTTTTGATTTCACAGATTGTACTTCTCACTTATTATCCTACTAAAAGAAGATATAGATACATGTAGGCCATCTACTGCATTTCCAAAGTAGACTTGACGGCAAACGTTAGCTGCAAGTGGTGTGAACAGCCCTTGACTGACATGGGAACAGAAATGAAAAGGAGCATTTTTTTCGTTCCGCTTTGTGTTTGGTAAACCAATTTTGTGTGTGGCATAGTGAACAGCTTATCCCACCAACAATCAAGTTTCATACAAAATATGCAAAATATTAGTTAATCTGAGTGAAGGACTAAAACTAAAATATTATATATTTTGTCATTTTTATCAATTTCCAGGTGTTTCCAGGATGTGTGGGAGTTTCTGCTGCCAACTCTCGAGAGGATTACTGCATAGAGTAAATCATGTGTCATCACACCACTTGCTGTTAAGGTTAAGCCTGTGGTTAACTCGCTCTTCACACCTCCTGACACAGGTCCTGGAAAAGGAAACTGATGCCTCTGATGATTCACCAAAACAACTTTCCATGGCGTCATGTTATGTTACCTATTGAAGGCGTCTGGCAGGGTGGTGGGGTATGACAGCGAGCTCTTCTCCTCAGTCGGAAGCTTCTGTTCCACAGTGAAGGTGTGATCATCAACAACCACTGACATCATGGCAGGCAGGAAGCGGGTGACCACCTCCAAATCCTGATAGTGGACGCACAGAAGGGCAAATCACAAAAAATGTATTGATAGCAATGACTCCATATTGGGGCATTTACATAAATCAGAACTGACTTTAAAACCTCATGTAATTGCATGAACCGATGCATAGGGTGACATACTGTACGTACCATACGAGGCTCTTTAAAGACCTGGCTGTCAATCATGTCCCAGGCCCCTTGACCCAGTGACAGCATCCTCAGCAACAGCATCAGGTCCGGACTGTCCTGTTCACAGAGACAACAACTTGTCATTCTGTTGATACTACTTGAGGTAGAAAAACTCCCTGCCTTTAAGAATTCACCTAGCTGCCATTTGAAAAACAAATAATACTGTAACACAATATAGTCTACTGCACATGTACATTGCACGAATGGCCTTGGGGGTAATCAATAACTTGTAGTCCAGAAAATGGTAAAAAAAAAAAAAGTTTCCCAAAGTCCAAACACACTTGTGTTCACATTCAGTGTTACTCATCAAAACACACTGAGGTCAAACAAACATGGCGAATACATTTCCTTCCAAATAAAAGATTCTTCATTATTATTAAAGTAGAAGAATTAAAAACTGCACTTTTTAGATCCATGTGTGCTTCCTGGAACTCTTCTTCCTTCTCTTTGCTGGCTTATTGCTTGTTAAGTTTCTTAATGCATCAGTGCCACCAGCTGTCAAACACTGGAATAGCATGACACCGTCAGCATGATTGTATTTCACGTATGCTCACCCTGGGTAAGGCGTCCTGACTCAGCAGCTCTTGTAGATTCCTCATGATACTCAGGACCAGGGTGTTACAGGCAAATGGGTCACACAGGATCATGGACAGGTCCCTGGAATGCACAGACACTCTCCAAAGATTAATTCATACTGTGACCGTTCCTGTCCAACATGTTGATGTGTTGATGTAGTGGACAAGTTATTGTTTTTTCTGTGTGTCCTTGAAGGTACCATCAGCAGCGAACCCGTGGGTCAGGCGCTCCTAAAGCAGAAAATCCCGTCCCAGCTGTGCTCTGGTCTCTCTCATTTGGCTGCATCCCCGCCAGCAGCAGCACGTTCTCAGCTTTTGTTTGATTTCTGCTTTGTTTTCACTTGACAACATTTACACCTCATATTGCTCACACATCCACATTTACATTACTGATGTTTCTGACTGACACACTCCAAAGCTGTACTTATTACCTCAGTTGTTTAAGTTACTATAATAAATTCACTCATTTCTTGCCATCTATTGTGTCCTACTCCGTACTTGTCATGGCCTAGGAGCTGGGTTGTGACAATACGTTCGTTACAGACGAACAGCTCTGTTCGTAAACTTAAAGCACCCCCCTCATCTCTTACCCGAGGACTTGCTCCTGTCCTTTCTTCACCCCGTCCAGGAAACCCTGCAGCTCTCTGGCTCGCTTGCCGTCCACAAACTTCTCACGGATGCAGGCGTCTAAACACCAAGTGAACTGTCACCGCACAACATAGAAACACAAAACAGGGAAAACATGTAACACACGGCCATACCACAGGAAATACAAGGCTCTTTGGTGGTTAGATGGTGTTATTAAACAGATTCACAGTCACTGTGGGTGTTCTTACCTTATGGCAGGGGTCAACAGAGCAGATCTCACTGATGTCCAGGTCGTGAAGAGACATCAGCAGCTCTGCTCTTAGCGTGCAGTAGTGGACATTTCGCGTTCGCAGGAAGAGTGTTCGTAAGAACTGCAGCACCATGTCGTACAGCTTCACATTCTTTCCAATCATCTGGGTCAGCTTTAGGACCACCTACAACAACAACGCAATCACTCACCCAGAGATCCATGTGTCACAGACTAAGGCTATTCACACTGCAGGCACAAGTGGACCAAATCGGATTTTTTGGTTGATCTTTTTTCATGACAGTGTGAACAGCACAATGCAATCTGATCTACTCAATTCTGATTTGGGCCACGTTCATATGTGGTCCAAATCCGATACAGGTGGGGTTTTTGTAATGTGACCTCAATGTGAACAGTCATATCAGAATTCATGTCACACATTTAACAAAAAATGTGAGCAGCCAAACAAAAAACAATATCAGACCATCAGATCTGAGGAATAAATCAGAACTGAGCGCTATGGCTTGCAGTGTCAACATAGCCTTAGACATCTAATCGAATGGCTATGACTCACCTCGCCTTGGCGTCGTGTTTTGGGAGAAGGGCTGAAGAAATTGTGCAGGATGGACAGGTCGCTGCTGAACAAAGCCGCTTCCTTCTCCACAATGTACTGCTTTAGGAGGGGCGAGACTTCGTCCCCAAACAGAGCCTGGTTGTCCTGCCAGATCTGCCTTTTCACCTCCACGGCACACACCTTGTACAGCTCCTTGTCAGCCATCACCATCTTCAGTTTCTTCTCTGGCACCTGCAGGAGGGCGCACAAGATTTGGGTCAACCAATTTTCTTTACGCCAAATGAAATTAGGCACGGGGAGTCATGGTTCCCACAGGGTGTATCCTAATGATATTCATCTAGTGCCATCAGTTTCTTCACTACACTTCATATAAACATACACACGGGTTACAAATTAACAGGTAGATGTGTTAGCCTCAGGCGACCTCACCAACCACACATCAGAGTGATGCAGACCGCAACAACTGCGATTGGTCCGATTGGTGTATGTGTGCATTGTCTGAGAAAGGGAAGCAACTCATGCAAAACCCACGAGTTATAATGCTGTTTTAATGGCGTTTCATGGGTGGCAGTGAGGTAAAAATGAAATCAGTAAAACACGAGAGATGAGGGAGAGTTTTAGTCAAAACTAAACAGTGACATAAACTTTGCAGTGACACCAACATATCACCACAAGCCCCTTTTCTCCACTATATAATGAAAAGAAAACAGTTTTTATATATTATTAGAAATCTGTGATAACAGCACCGCTAATTAAACGTCATTGCGGCACACGCCCTTGCAACAGGTTTCCATGGTCTTTAAAAGGAAGGAACTAGCCCTGAAAACACCTGCCTTGGGTAGATGCTTCAGCACCTGCATTACCACCGGCTGAATGGACGGCATTTTGACGAGGGGAAAGCTCTTCTCCAGCAGCTCTTCAAGCTTCCTGTATCTGTAAGCAGAGTGAAAGAAAACAAAGAACAATGGCATCCAAGCTGGTCCCTTCAGAGAACATTACTCAAAGTCAGAAACGACCACCGAGCACACACCTGTCCTCTTCCTTGCCCTCTGCGATGATGGCGACTCGCTCCATCAGCTTTTCTCTGAGCTCGTCAAAGACAGACTGGTGGAACTCCAGCCGAGGCGTTCCGTGGAGGTCGAGGAAGGGAAGAGCAGACTGAAGGGTTGGCAGCAGGATGCCATTTTCCATCTGCAGTAGTGTAACATCATTAGGGGTTAGTTGTAGCTTTAGCTGGTCCATTCAGAGCCAGCTAAATACATGTTCCCTTGCTTATTTTCAATGGCAGAGAGCAGGTAAAGACATTTAACACACAAGTAGTTAGTTAAATCTATTAATAAGCACACTGATAATCAGCAAAGAAGAAGGCAAAACCTAGATAAAAAGCAGCTGTGTGTAAAAGTGTGTGCGTTATTACAGTTTGTTCTTAACAGTCCGGTCCAAAATATTTAAGACTTATTTAAGACTATTTAGGCTATGTGAAGGAGCTGCATTTATCTACATTTTTTATATACTTGATGAATGTATTATGCATACTGGTCCAGTATGCAACTTATACATGTGTGAAGTAGAAAAATTTCAATCAGGGTTTGAAATTGAGAAGCGGTTCCAAATTGTCCGGTCTATCAGCATATTCATAGAAAGTGGAATTTTTAATGAGGTAGAAGGAGCGGATGTAGTTACCTCAGCATGAGCTGTTTATATCTACAGAGGGAGCAGGTCCTCTTCTACAGAGTGTTGAACCGCCATGTTTCTACAGTAGCTCAAAATAGACAAACCAAACACTGGCTCAAAAAATTGTTTTGCGCTTAACATAGTTTCTCCTACGTGCTTGGAAGGTGAGTGGTATTCAGTTGGTTGCAACTTCTCCACTTAGATGCCACTAAATGCTACACGCTGGTCCTTTAAAGGGACAC